AAAAAAAAAAAAAAAAAAAAAAAAAAAAAAAGGAAAAACCAACACCAAAGTACACCACCATGAATTTCAGAACGACTGCATAAGGAGATCCTAAAGCTTCCAGAGATAAAACAACAGATCATACATAAAGAATTGGGAATCACAATGGTACTGGATTTCTAAACAGCAAAACTGGAGGCTGGAAAACAATAAAATGCCTTCAAATTTCTGAAGATTCCAATCTGTAATGTAATACCTGCTAAATTATTAATCAAGTATGAAAAGAGAATAAAGATGTTTTCAGACATGCCAAGTTTCAAAATCTCTCATACATCCTTTCTCAGGAAGTTATTAGAAGATGTGCAGCACCAAAAGAAAGTAAACTACAGGTGGGAAGACACGGGATGCGAGAAAAAGGAGATCCAAAACAGGAGAGAGGCAAAAGAATTTCCAGAGTGATGGTAAAGGGAAGTCCAGAGTGACAGCTGAGAAGTGAGCCCAGAAAGAATGAAAGATTAAGTCCAATTGGAGCAGGAAGGCGAAAGCCTCCAAACACATGGCTACCAAAAAAAAAAAAAAAAAAAAAGGAAGGCGGGGAGGAAGAAAGGAACTCCTAGATTACCTGATATGTTTGAATATGCAGACATGCTACATATAATCAGAGACTTGTTTGGGGTATATGAAAATTAAGAAAATGAAAAAATAAAGCAATTAACTCTTGAGAAAACAAAATGTGTAAGAAGGGAAATGTAATTATAACAGGGCACACCTACAGAAGTGGGCATTAGTGAACAGTATAAAAACAATTATAGTAATGTTAATAAAAATTTTATTAAATCCCAAATTGTGATATGATAATATTAGGTGGCTATGGAGAAGTAAAGTAGATATGTGTCTGGGTATGTCTGTGGGAAGAGTAGTATGAGTTGTCTTTATATTCCATAGTAGATAATGTCTAAAACTTAAGAATATCAAATAGAAATATAGTGGTAAATAACAAAAGAAGCAACTTAGGATCTCAGGATTTAAAAATTGGAAACAGCTAGGAGTGGAGCAAAGGAGGGTTGTTTTTGATATAACCGTTGTGATATCTTATTATGTTAATCTTTGTACATGTATTGCTAAAAATAACAAATTAGAAAAACAAAATATTAGGATCATTTTCACCTGTCCAAGCTCTTCATTCAGATCAGAAGTATTGACTTGAGCTTTCTGATCTGATTCTTCATGATACAGATCAAGATCCCAGCCAATAAAAAATGATCCAAGAAATTTCTGCATTTCGACTGTCACATATAATGAAATTGGAATGATGAAATTGTAGAGAACCAAAAAAGCAAGGAAGTCCGAAATAAATCTCAGAATCTAGAAAAGAGGAAATAATTGTTTGGTAAGAAAATAAACACTAGGATTTCTTCAGTATTACTGAAGAAAATTACCAGAAAGTTTCATGCCTACATGACCATCAACTATATTGAGCTAGAATAGACTCATGAATTGAAATTCATTTACTGAATTTCATTTATTGAAATTTTATTAATTTATTGAATTGTCTTTTTAACATTACATTTCCTGTTTATTTTATTGCTCATTAGAATCTTGATGAAGTAAATTCAAATAAGTTAATTTGTTACTTTCAAAGGCTAACCAAAAGCCTGGTATGACTGAAACTACCTTTGTCAAAATTATAATCTCTGGAGTGTACTTATCTCATTCTTCTACTACCCTTCAAAATCAAATAACTACTGAAAGTTGAGTGTAACTTTCTTCTGTCTTCCAATACATAGATTTTAATGTAAAGTGAAATTTGGAGAACAATTATTTACCAAAATTTTAGGTTAAATTCTCTTGGTAGTTGATGTTTAATCAATTAAAACATGGTATAATTTGCATATTACTTCATGTTAAGACTGGTAATAAGCATCCTTGAATTATTCAGACAAAATTAAAAATACAACCATTTACTCTTTGATTCATTTATAAGATATAGTAAATGGAAGAGAAAACTGAGTTTGTAGTATTAATGTGAAATGCAAATATGGATGGATTTAAAATCTTGTGACCTCTTTGAACTATTCAAGTCATACCACAGGGAATACAACTTCTTATGCCAAAAACTGCAAAAAGCATACCAGTACAAACATGCTGGCTTTTCTACATTTGCAATGCCATTTCTGTCACCCTTCAATACTAATGGTTTTAGGATTACAGTGGCCACTCCTATCAGAAGTCACTACTAAAGCCAAACAATGTTTCCTTTATGACACAGTCAACGACACCATAAAATACCTTACTGCTATTTCTTTGATGTTCTGTTTTTTGGTTATACCAAGGTTCATCCCATTTTTCTTCAGCTTGCCATGTATACTTCAAGATAGTACTGATGACAGCTTCAGATATAAGAATTACTAGATAAATTATCAAAAATGTATTCATTGACCTAAAGGAAGAAAAAGAGAATATAAAACATACAAGTTATGTATTACTATACTCATCTGCTTGGAAATTAACACTTGTATTAGAGAAGATATTAAAACATAGAAGGTATTACTGTAACTATTTTAAAACACACAGTTTTTGTTTTCAAGAAATAACTATTGGCCGGGTGCGGTGGCTCAAGCCTGTAATCCCAGCACTTTGGGAGGCCGAGGCGGGTGGATCACAAGGTCAAGAGATCGAGACCATCCTGGTCAACATGGTGAAACCCCGTCTCTACTAAAACTACAAAAAATTAGCTGGGCATGGTGGCGCGTGCCTGTAGTCCCAGCTACTCAGGAGGCTGAGGCAGGAGAATTGCCTGAACCCAGGAGGCGGAGGTTGCAGTGAGCCGAGATCGCGCCACTGCACTCCAGCCTGGGTAACAAGAGCGAAACCCCGTCTCAAAAAAAAAAAAAAAAAAAAGAAATAACTATTAAATAGAATTTATTTATTAGCAATAAAAGAATTGACACACAGGTTACAAGTCTGGCTGTTTACTACAGCCAGGTTACCATTCAAAATGCTTACAGTAAATGACGGCTTTAGTCAGTTATTTTTTGCCATAAGTAATTATTCTAAGTTTTTTGTTTTTTTACATTTTCAGCATCCATCTTCTAATAAGTGTAATAGCTAAAAACATTTGCATAGCATTAAAATTTCTGCCACATCCACTATCCTTTCTAATCTAGATGAAAACCCTGTAAAGGAGAAATTATTACATACTTTCTTTGAGATGGAGTTTCACTCTTGTTACCCAGGCTGGAGTGCAATGGTACCATCTCAGCTCACCGCAACCTCCAACTCCTGGGTTCAAGCAATTCTCCCGCCTCAGCCTCCCGAGTATCTGGAACTACAGGGGCGCGCCACTATGCCCAGCTAATTTTTTGTATTTTCAGTAGAGATGGGTTTTCACCATGTTGACCAGGATGGTCTTGATCTCTTTACCTTGTGATCCACCCGCCTTGGCACTGACAAAGACCAAAGCCCAAAAATAATTCTGTAAATTTCCCAAAAATCACACAAGCCAGGAATTGATTTCAGAAACCCTCTTCTCTTTTCTAGGTAAGCTTAATGCCACATCTTTAAGTTAAAAAACATATTAATACAATTAAAGGAACTCATTGCAAATTCAAATGTATGCAAAACAAACAACGTTATAATGAACTCTCACACATTCAACAAATATTGAGGGAAAATGCGAATCACGGGCTTTGTAAAAACTCTTAAAAGACTGAAAAATGCCTGAATTCTGATTTTTCTCCCTAGGCCTTCCGTAATTTAACCTAAACTTAACCATGGAATAAGTTGATACTCTACCATGTTTGAATGTAAACTCTATATATCCTGTAGTGACAGTAGGTAGGGAGTAAGGAACGTAAGAACAGAACTGGCTTTTGTTGGTTATCATGTATGAGGTACAGTAGCACTTCACCTATAGTACTGCTCACATTTTTATAGATGAGAACACTCGGATCAAGAGAAGGAAACAACTGGTCCAAAGCCACAGAGCTAGTAAGGAAGGGATATGAAGTTCAAATCTATATCTGTCTGACTCTAAATCTGACCTCTTTTCACTAAACTAGTCATGTCTCCTTGCAGCAACAAAATGCCTGGTTTATTTCCATCTTTCTTTGCTCATGTCTACCCTCATCAGACACATTCTCCCTTTTCCCTATTAGTGTATTTTTCAAAATTTAACTCAAAATCCATCTCCTTCCTAATGTCTGTCCTAACTACATTGGTTTATATTCAACTTTCCCTTATTTAAATTTAAAACTAGTACCACAGCCCCTATTACCTAATTTTTACTGTGTATTAGTTTTAACTTCCAACTTGATTGAAATCTCCAAAAAGAGAGGGAATTACATCTCAGAAAACCTACTACAGCAACAGATACACAAAAAAGCTCAATGAAGATGTCTAGGACATTGGGCTGTTTCCAGTTTTTTGCTGTAACAAGGTGGCTATGGGCATTTCTGCTTGAATTTTTGTGTCAGCATAAAATTCATTTCTCTGAGTTAACCACTGCTGGGTCATATGGTAAACATGTTTAGTTTGCCAAACTATCTTCCAGAGTGGGTATGCTATTTTTAATTCTCACCAACAACACAGAAAAGATTTCTCTCTGCCTCCTAGCCTTTTGGTATGACCATTTTGATTTTAGCTATTCCAATAGGTGTGGCGATATCTCAATGCGTTTCTAATTTGCTTTTCTCTAATAGATAATGATGCTGAATATCTTTTCATGTGCTTTTCATCTGCAACTTTTCTCTGGTGAAGTATGTATTTGGTGAAATATGAACTATGTCTTTTGCTCATTTTCTAATTGGGTCACTGAATTACTGTTGAGTTTGAGTGTTCTTTCATGTTTACTTTTATTTGTTTTTATTTTTGTTTTGAGATAAAGTCTTGCCCTGTTGCCAGGCTAGATTGCAGTGGTGTGACCTCGGCTCACTGCAACCTCTGCCTCCCGGGTTCAAGTGATTCTCCTGCCTCAGCCTCCCAAGTAGCTGGGACTACAGGCGTGGGCTACCACGCCCAGCTAAGTTTTATATTTTTACTAGAGACGGGGTTTCACCAAGTTGGTCAGGATGGTCTGGATCTCTTGACCTCATGATCCCCCCGCCTCAGCCTCTCAAAGTGCTGGGATTACAGGCCTAAGCCACTGCACCTGGCCTCATGAGAGTTCTTTGTATTTCTAAACATAAAGCCTCTGAAAAATTTGTGGTTTGCAAATATTTTCCCCAGTGTTGCTTGTTTTTTTTCATCCTTTTCAGAGGGTTTTTCACAGCGCCAAGTTTTTAACTTTGATTAAGTATAATTTATTAACTTTTTTCATTTAGGAATTATGCTTTCAGTGTCATGTCTTCTAGTCCTTTGTCTAATGCTAGGTCCTGAAGATTCTGTTTTCTTCTAAAAGTTTTGTAGCTTAATGTTTTACATTAAATCTATGCTCCAATTGAATTAATTTTTATATACAGTGGAGGTCTGGGTTTGTTTTGCTATGGATATCCAATTGTTCTAGCACCATTTGTTGAAAAAGATTATCCTTCCTCTATTGTATTGCTTTTGTGCTGTTGCCAAAAATCAACTGGACCTATTTGTGTTAGTCTATTCTGGGGTTCTCTATTGTGTAACACTGATCTATGTGTCTATTCTTTCACCAATACCAAATTGTCTTGATTACTGTAGCTTTTATAGTAAGACTTAACATCAGATAGTAATTCTTCCCACTTTTTCATTTTCAAAACTGTTCCTTTGCTTTTCTATCTAAACTTCAAAATAAATTTTCTATTTCTAAACATAAAAATAAAAACTTGCTGAGATTTTTCTAGAATTTGCATTATACCTATTGAGTTGGGAAAATTGACATCTTTACTGTACTGAGTCTTTCTACCCATGAACATGATATATTGTCCATTTATTTAGATCTTTGACTTCTTTCCTCAGGGTTTTGTAATTTTCAGCATAGAGAATTCTATGTATTTTGTTAGATATGTACCTCGGTTGTTCCTTCTTTGGGGAGCAACTGTAAATGGCATTATGGTTTCAATGTTCATTTCCCTTTGTCATTGCTGTTTCTGTTCTAATGTAAGTATTTAGTGCTAGAAATGTGTGTATTGCTTCAGCTGTATCCTACCATTTTTATTATTCTGTATTTTCACTGACATACAGGTATTTTAAAAAATTTTTAAGATTTCCTCTCTGACTCATGGATTATTTAGAAGAGTTCCAGTTGTTCCAAATCTTTACCAATACTTGAAACATTTAGTCTTTACAATTTTTACCTTTCTAGTAAGTCATGCATTTGTATCTCTTTGTAGTTTTGATTTGCATTTCTCTCATAATGATGTTGTATACTTTTCTATGTGCTTATTGGCCATTTAAGTGTCTACCTTCCAGCTTTTGGCCATTTTTTTTTTTTATTGGCATCTCTTTTCATTGTTGATTTGTAGGCAAAGAGAGAGAGAGCGAGAGAGAGAGAGAGAGAGAGTGAGTGTGTGTGTGTGTACAAAACATGTATCCGGTACACACACACACACACCCATTACATATTATATTTTGAATACAAGTCTTTGGCTGGATACATGTTTTGCAAATACTGTCTCCCAGTTTGTAATGTGTATGTTCATTTCTTTAAATGTAGCCTGAAGAACAGAAGTTTTTACTTTTGAAAAAGTCTAACATCAAGTTTTTAATTATTTGTTGTATCCTAAGAAATCTTTACCTACTCGAGGTGATAAAGATATCTAGGTTTTCTTCTAAAAGTTTTATAATTTTAGCTTTTATGTTTAGGTCTATGACTCGTTTTCAAAACCTTTTTGGAGTACAGTATAAGGTAGAAGCTAAGTTTTATGTTTCTCTCATTTTAATATCCAATTGCTGCATCATTTGTAGAAAATATTAATTTTTTCATTGAATTGACTTGTTGCTTTGTTGAAAATCAACAAACCATACCTGAATGGTCTATTTTTTCTCTTATACCACTTCTGTTTTGCTTAATCAGTCAATCTCAGTAGGAAGTTATCAACTTTATAGCTAGAAATTTCCCTCTGAGCTGGGCTTTGCCTTGAGTCTGCAAATGTAGATGTGTTAGGTTTAAATTACTATTCTATTTGAAGACATTTCAAATTTCCTTTGTGATTTCTCCTTTGAATCATTAGTCAGTTAAGAGTTGTCCTTAAATTTCAAAATACTTGCAGATTTTGTTATTGATTTTTAATTCAATTCCCTCATTGTCAAAGAACATACTCTGTATGATTTCAACCTTTTGGGATTTGTTTTATGGCTCATCATATGATCTGTCTAAACTTTCCATGTATAATTATGGAATTATTCTATTTTCAGTTTTCATATGCTTACTATATACATAGTGTTTCTTTTAATGTCAACCTATTTATATCTTTGTATGTAAACTGCATCTATTCTAGACAGCATAGAGTTGGGTCTGGCTCTTTTATCCACTGTGACAATCTCTGACTTCATTAGACAGATGAATTTACATTCCAGGTAATTTTTGGTCAAATTTAGGATTACCATTTTGCTATTTGTTTTATATTTGTCTCATTTGGTTTTCTCTGTTCTTCCTTTCTTGCTATCTACTGGGTTTACCGAACATTTTAATATTCAGCTGCTCTGACTTATTAGCTATATAATCTTTGCCTATTGCTTTTAATGATCGCTCTAGAGATCAGAATATGCATCTTTACCTTACTACAATTTACTTACAGATGCCATTATATTACTTCAAGTAAAATGCAGGAACTTTGTTAACAGTTCATTTACAGGCAGGTTTTTAAGAAAACTTTATAATTCATCATTTGAGTTCATCTAGCACCTTAAGATGTTAAAGAGGAATGATCAGACCCAAAATGAGAAGAAAGAGAGGAAATTAATTGAAGGTGCAAGCTGAAGCCAATGGAATAGAAGAGAGATAAACAATACACAAAATTAAAGCCAAAAGCTGGTTCTTTGAAAAATATTAATAAAATGTCTTTATTTGTTGACGTGGAGTCTTGCTCTGTTACCCAGGCTGGAGTGCAGTGGTGTGATCTCAGCTCACTGCAACCTCTGCCTTCCGGGTTCAAATGATTCTCCTGCCTCAGGCTCCCAGATAGCTGGGACTACAGGTGTACGCTACCGCGCAGGCTAATTTTTGCGTCTGTACTAGAGATGGGGTTTCGCCATGTTGGCTTGAACTCCTGACCTTAAGTGATCTGCCCACCTTGGCCTCCCAAAGTGATGGGATTACAGGCATGTGCCACTAATAAAGTGTCTATTTTGTGCTTGCTTATATCACTTAACATAATGATCTTCAGTTACATCCATGTTGCTGCTAATAACACGAATTCATTCTTATAACGGCCAAACAGTATTCTACTGTATGTGTATGTATACATATTTTTATCCATTCGTCTGCTAATGGACTGTCAGACCGAATCCACAGCTTTGCTATTATGAACAGTGCTGCAATAAACATGTAAGTGCAGATATCCCTTTGATACACTGGTTTCTTTTCCTTTGGATAAAACCCAGTAGTGGGATTGCTGGATCATATGGTAATCACATTGTTAGTTTTCTGAGACACCTCCAGACTGTTTTCCAGTGGCTATCCCAACTTACATGCCCACCAACCATGTGCAATAGTTTCCTCTTCTCCATATCCTTGGCAGCATCTGTTATTTTTTGTCTTTTTAATAATAGTCACTCAGACTGCAGCAAGATAACATCTCCTTGTGGTTCTAATACACATTTCTTTTTGTTTGTTTTTGAGACAGAATCTTGCTCTGTTGCCCAGGCTGGGTGCAGTGGTGCGATCTCAGTTCACTACAACCTCTGCCTCCCAGGTTCATGCGATTCTCCTGCCTCGGCCTCCTGAGTAGCTGGGATTACAGGCATGCGCCACCACACCTGGCTGATTTTTATATTTTTAGTACAGATGGAGTTTCACCATTTTGGCCAGATTGGTCTCCAACTCCCGACCTCAAGTGATCCTCCTGCCTTGGTCTCCCAAAGTGCTGGGATTACAGGCATGAGCCACAGTGCTCAGCCTTGAGTTGATTTTCTATATGGTGAAAGACAGGGATTCAGTTTCATTCTTCTGCATGTGGCTATCCAACTTTCCCAGCACCATTTACTGAAGAGGATGTCCTTTCCCAATGTCCTCTGTTGTTTCTGATGAGAACTAGTTATCACTCATATTGTTATTTACTTTTATGTGATGCATTTTTCTTTGGCTCCTTGAAATACTCTTTTTTCCTTTGGAACCTAGTAGTTTGACCATGATGTACTTTGGTGTGGTTTTCTTTGCATTTTTCCTGCTTAGAGTTTACTGATTTTGGTAGTGTAGGCTGAAGTTTTTTTCCTCAAATTTTAGAAATTTTCAGTTATTATTTTTTCAAATATTTTTATTTTTTTGGGAATCAGTTATACTCATGCCAGACAACTTCATACTATCCCACATGGCTGAGAAGCTCTGTTCATTTTTCCTCAATCTTTTTCCCTCTCTGTTCTTTGAGTAATTTCCGTTGTGTTTTCAAGTTCATTGGTCTGATTTCCTCAGTCTGGTGTTGAGCCCACCTAATGATGTTTCCATTTTAGTAATTATGTTTTTTCAAGTCAAGAGTTTCCATTTCTTTGCTGAATTTTCCCATATGTTCATTCAAATTTTCCTTTAGGCCCTTAAACATATTTATAATAAATATAAATATATGCTTTAAAGTTCTTGTCTGCTAAATGCAAGATCTGGATCATTTTGGAGACAGTTTCTATTGAGTGCTTTTTCTCTTATGGATGAATTACATTTTCTTCACATTCTGCTTATTTTTTTATTGCAGAGTGAACTTTATAAATAATACACATTGTAGACGTCTGTATTCTTTTATGTTCCTCAGAAGAGTGCCAATTTTTATTGCAGTAGTCAGTTAAATTCACCTGGCTCAAACAGCAAACTGTGTCTCCACTGCAACGGGCAGCAGTAAAATTCTCTGTTGTCGCCCTTGCACATACATAGTTCAGCCAAGGACTTCGGCAGAATTTATGTGCAGTTTTTAGAGTTAATTCCCTTCTGTCACTTACATCTCATTGCTTACAGGAGGGAATTAACACTAATTCCCTTTATTATTTTCCCCTAACTTTCCGGCTGCTCTTCCAGCTTTAAACCTTGTCCTCTGATACTTCTATCCAGTAAAGTTCAGACTTTTTGATGTTCCAAACAGCACATAAACTGGGGAGTGCCCTGAGGCAAAGAGTGTTACTTTTGAATTTTCCCCCTTGCTGCTATCATCTTTCAGGATTAGACTCATTGCCCATTACTATTTGCTTCTGGTTTGTCTTCAATGTTTTCAAATAGTTATTAAATTTTTTTTTTTTTTCAGTTTTAGAACTGTTATCTGCAGAAGCATTAGCCTGATTAAGTGATTGCACCATTTATCCAACAGTATTTATTTAAAAAGTCATACTGTAGAGCATCTATTACACGCCCAAGACTGTGCAAAATGTTACTTATATGTAAAAATATAAGAAACTATCAATGTTCCCAAGGTTATCACCGTGTTTACTTAACATATATATTTATATATTTTATACCAAATGAATAAAAAAGTATAATTATAATTACATATAAATAATTGAAAATAGTTTTCTTACTTTTCTACTGCAGATCGTTTCTGTGATTTGCTCTTATAATTTAATGCCATCTTAGTTTCCATTCCAGTGTATATAGCAACACCTATAAAACAAAATCGTCTCTTAAAATAATCCTCTAGCATGTTTCACGAGAAATAAATACATTACTCACATGAAAGCTTTTAGTGTACTATCTGACTATTGTTATAATTTCACTTTTAAGTATTTTCAGAGTTTTAAAAGGCTTTCTAAGTCTAATTTTGGGAAACCCCAATCACTCAACTGGCTAAATGGGGAAGGGCATTGGTCCTGTTCTTGAGTTGCAACAGATATCTGAATGAAAAATGTATTACTGAATCAGAATTGATAAAGGAAAAGAATTTGGAAAGACAAAGATGTCAGGGAAGGCCATTACAAATGCAGCAGTGTTAACAGAGACAGACACACTTTCTGTTAGGCTGGGACAATGGATTGTGGCCGCAGTGTGAAAAGCCCTCAATGCTGGAGTCAGGGATCTAGACACTATTCCATAACCACTGGAGAGATAATATGGAAGTCTGTCAAGAGTAAATCAAGTAAACACATGGAAAGTGCTATTTAAAAAATGTTTGCCTATTGAACGACTTTGAGATGAGCAAGGATGACAGTAGTAATGGGACTAAAACTGGACAACGAACGAAATGAGGTAAGACCGGCTTATAAAAAAAGAAACGTTGCAGCCAGACTGTGGTTTGAATTCTAGCTCTGTAAATTATTAGTTCTACATCCTTGGCTAAGTAAGTTTTCTGAGTCTCAATTTTCTCATCTTTAAAAGGGAAAAAAACACCTCATAGAGTGGTGAGGTCTGTATGAAAAATTAACAAAATGCCTAAAAACTGACAGATGATCAATAAGTGTTCATTCCCATCCCTAAATAGTACAATTTGAAAAGCAGTGTAGAACCCGTCATGCCCTCTTCCTAAATATTTGTCCTGGAAGTTTTTTATCTTGACTTATTCCTTAAAGGCAGGGTATTAGAACTCAAACAAGAGATTGTAGAAATGTGGTAAAATAGCCAGAATGATCCAATGCAGAGAGTTGGTACTGAGGCAAGGCAGACCCATCTAAAGGCATTCAAATACACATTTTCTTTTAAGAGTGTACAAAATGTGGACCCCATTCATTATGGTATAAAGTAAATAGGAGTGATGAAGTTACTAGAAAGATGTGTTGGCCAGGTGCGGTGGCTCACACTGCAATCCCGCCACTTTGGGAGGTCGAGGCAGGTGGATCACTTGAGGTCAGGAGTTCAAGACCAGCCTGGCCAACATCATGAAACCCCGTGTCTACTAAAAATACAAAAATTAGCTGGGCATGGTGGCACACGCCTGTATTCTTAGTTACTTGGGAGGCTGAGGCAAGAGAATTGCTTGAACCTGGGAGGCAGAGGTTGCCGTGAATGGAGATCACACCACTGTGCTCCAGCCTGGGTGACAGAGTGAAGCCAGATCTATATTTAAACACAAAAAAAAAAAAAAATGTGTTAAAGTACAATGTTATATTAGAGGATCTAAAAGCCCTGAAGTAAGTTTACTCTGGTTTCTGGTATTAGAACATTTTATGAATTTCTTTTTTTTATGAATTGTGGTAAAATATACATATCTACCATTTTGAAGTGGACAATTCAGTGACAGTACATTTATAATTTTGTGCAACTATCCATATTATCTAGCTAGACAATATTTTCATCACCCGCAAAGAAAACCCTGTACCAATTAAGCAAACATTCGCCATTCTCCTTTACTCTCCAGCCCCTGGAAACCACTAATCTGTTTTCTGTCTCTATGAATTTGCCTATTCTGGGTATTTCATAAGATGGAATCATACAACGTGTGGCCTTTTGTGTCTGGCTTCTTCCACTCAACACAATACTTTCAAGGTTCATCCATATTATAGTATGCATTAATACTTCATTCCTTTTTGGAATAATATTCCAAATGGAATAATATTCCATTCTATGGATATACCAGATTTTGTTTATTTATTCACTAACTGATGAACACTGGGCTGTTTCTAACCTTTGGCTAGCATGAATAGTGCTGCTATGAACATTCTTGTACAAGTTTTTGTGTGAACACTCATTTTTAGTTACTTTGGGTATATATATATATATATATATATATATATATATATATATACATGTAGAGTGGGATCACTGAGTCATATATTTCTATGTTTAACTTTTTGAAGAACTGCCAAAACTAATTTTCAAGGCAGCTGCAACATTTTGCATTCCCATCAGCAACGTACAAGGGTTCTAATTTCTCCACTTCCTCACCAACACTTGCTATTTTTTTTTCTCCCAGATATGGGCTTTTTTAACACTGATAGACAAGATACAGTACAGGTAAAAGAAAAAGAGCAAATGTGAAAGAAGATCTCAAAAGCTACAGACAGCCAGTGGGTAACACAGCAGGACGGGATGCTAAGGGCCATCCCTGAAATGGGAGGAGCTAGGTAACAGCTAAAGGTTATCATTAACTTCACAATTTGCCTATAGTTGACTGAGTGTACTATATTAATTTAGATCTCCAAGGCAAGAACAATACCTATTCATCCTGTTGTAGTCAGAGTTATGTTCCAATAGCACCTGGTATATATTCAGGTAGCAGTAAAAATTTGTTGAATAGATGAATGAGTGAATGAATCCACAGGTATTAATCTAATCTAATAATCATAATGGAATTATAGAAGTGGTTTACTGTACCACGATGCCAGATTATACTGGGTATCACCCACCATTACTAGAAGTGTTACATAAATTATCTGCATTAAGTTTCACAACCAATCATAAAGATAAGAGTAAGGTTCTAGCCTACTATTAAAAAACAGGGATCAGGGGCCGGGCGCGGTGGCTCAAGCCTGTAATCCCAGCACTTTGGGAGGCCGAGGCGGGTGGATCACGAGGTCAAGAGATCGAGACCATCCTGGTCAACATGGTGAAACCCCGTCTCTACTAAAAATACAAAAAATTAGCTGGGCATGGTGGTGCGTGCCTGTAATCCCAGCTACTCAGGAGGCTGAGGCAGGAGAATTGCCTGAACCCAGGAGGCGGAGGTTGCGGTGAGCCGAGATCGTGCCATTGTATTCCAGCCCGGGTAACAAGAGTGAAACTCCGTCTCAAAAAAAAAAAAAACAAAACAAAACAAAAAAAAAAAAACAGGGATCATCAACACAAAAATACAAGACTACATTAATACAAACTTTCTAAGAAAATCATCATAAATGACAATTATTAATAAATTAACCAAAAGACCATAAAGTTGTATTTTAAAAGTACTTCATATAAAGCATTAACACAAATCAATCATTTAAAATGTTTATGCACAAACCAAAAATTTCTTTTGTGTTTTTTAATCTGGCTCCACGAAGCAGGAGACTCTCTGGCCCCAGAGGTCTAGGGAAAAAAAAAGAAAATAACCATAAAGCACTGAATATATTAACATTTCCATTCGATTCTAAAATGGCGTCTTCAGCAGAAGGTACTTAAGCTATAGCTACAACACTGCTTTCATATTAAACCAAAATTCCAGCTACTGTAAAGATGCCTAGGGGCCAGGCGTGGTGCCTCAGCCTATAATCCTAGTACTTTGGGAGGCCAAGGTGGGCAGATTGCCTGAGCTCAGGAGTTGGAGACCAGCCTGGGCAACACAGTGAAACCCCACCTCTACTAAAATACAAAGGAAATTAGCCAGGTATGGCAGCGTGCGCCTGCAGTCCCTTCTACTTGGGAGACTGAGGCAGGAGAATTCCTTGAATCTGGGAGGCGGAGGCTGCAGTGAGCTCAGATTGTGCCACCCACTGCACTCCAGCCTGGGAGACAGAGTGAGACTCCTGTCTCTACCCAAAAAAAAAAAAAAAAAAAAAAATTCTGCCTAGGCCAATCATGTTAGTTACTGTAACAATGAACACCTGCTTTAGTATTTCAGTTGCTCTAAGATTAGTGGCTCAGAAAAGTAATTATGCATGTAAATACAATCACAAAGCCACTAGTTTCAAAATTTTTAAACATAAAATTCAGCAAAATCAAAGAGTAAGCAGTGATTTAAACATGTGTGGCAGAAGATAAAATTTTAAAGCAAAATTAATACACAGCTTTGAAAGGGAAAATAAAGAATTAAAACACAATGTAAACATAAATTGTAGTATGATTTGCATATAAGGATATGAGTTCACAATTAAAATTATAATAAATTATAAAACACAGCGTAGAAGGTATGTTAGTGCTTTCTCTAGGCAAGATTGCACAGTACGACTTGACTACTTGCATTGCATACTTCTTGAAGCACAGGTCTTCTTGCTGTTTGAATTTCTCTCCATAAAGGAGATACAAAATGACAAGGAATAACTAGAAAGGAAATTGATCTTCTTAGTGACAGCAAAATAAGAATCTTCTATGGATAAGTTAAAAAGCCATTATTTTGTTGCTATTCCTTATACTTTTCTGAAATATCCACACAGTTATCCAAACCAAACATAATCTGAACCATTTATGAAGATACCTGCAAACCCGAACACTGTAAACAAGTGCAATGAAGCAAGGAGAACCAATACAGTCATATTTGGAGTGCGCTCCATGGATATTCCAAAATCAATGTGAAAATTATTTTAGGAGCTATAAAATAGCTATTTTTCACTCAGTGTTGCTTCTAACAATAAACAGAAATATTTTTAGCTCACATTGGCATATAAAATTGGGAGGTAATGACAGCTTCAGATTAAAAGATAATTCATCAGTTCCGTCAGGTTGTTTCAGTAGAGAACATGGATCATTTTTTTAACCATTCTAGGGGCTGCAGTAATATAACTGCTATTTTCCTTCATATATTAATGCAACTCAGAACATGTATCCTATTTCTCACTACTTCCCTATAAAAATCAAAATAAACCTAGTCATAGTTATTCAGCAGGGATCCTATGCATACAAAGATCTTGCTACAGAGTTTACTAAATATACCCCTATGTTCATAAATGCTTACTAAAAATGCGAATCAATGTGAATGTATCGTATTTTTGCTAGCTTGTCTTGAGGATTTCATTAAAAAATGCTCAGTTCTGTTAGTAACTTATTTCATGCAGGCCGTATAAACTGAACATGTCCTGAGAAAAGAGGTAGAATGTCAAATACGATTAGAAACTCAGGAGCTGATTCCAAGATTGATGATAAATTAGGCTTATGCTCATGAGTAACAATGTAATCATATCCCATCAGCATTATCTTTGAACTGACACAAAGTATTTCATTTAGGAGCCAGAAATTAACCCAAACATTGAGGGAAAACAATCTGAAACAACCAACCAAGCAAAAAATAATAATAATAAAATAAGTAAGTTAAGTGGTTCTGGACTGACCACTAAACACTCCAGTCTGCAGTGAATGATTCTGAAGTAAAGAACACAGCATTTATACTTACTAAACAGTATATAAAACATTTTCATATTCTAGAATTACCAAGCATTGTGGGTTTTAATGCATAAGGAGCTGAATAAAAGCAGCTATGTTTCCTTTTAATGTTACTACCTAGTATTATTAGAAAAAGAAATACAAAAACACAAATAATCTTACTAAATTATTTTGATATAATTTTATGGGATGTGTTTCATCCTCACTTGCTGCTGCTACAAATTACTAGCGGATGAAATCCTAAGTGCTTTTAAATTAACCTTTTCCTGAAAAAGTTTGAGTATAATGGAGAAAAGGAGAAATAATAGCTGAGGGTAAATGAATGAATAAATGGGTTGCAAACTGAGGGAAATCCAACGTAACATTAACACCTTGAAAGAGGCTCAGAGCAAGAGATGACATTGTTTCTTAGCTCAATAATAAATACCAGATGCCTAAAAGAGTGAAGCTATTTGCAGAGACCACTGCTGCTTTTGGAATCTGAGAAGAGTGATAAGAAGCCTGCAAACCTGAGTGACCTTACTCTGGGACTCACGCACTGTGATGGACTGGACGAATTACTGACTGAATGGGATTCTGGTAATGTGGCAGTGTCTTCTGAACTGTATATTCTTTGGGTGTAAGGGATCTGTGTTTGAAAACTAGGGGATGGCCTGTGGTATTATGAGATACATATTAGTTTCCATCCACGGTCCCTGGCTTATAACTCCCATATCCCTTGTTACAGTCTTTTGTTATAATGTTGGGTATGTTAGGCCTCAGGGGCAGGCCTCTGACCTTCTCCTGCTCTCCTTTCACCCCAAGGTAGGACTTTCCTCTTCCTCCACCTTTCTAAATTGTGGGCCACCTTTCTAAATTGTGGGTCATATGGCCTTCCCCAAAGAGGGTCCTTCCTGCCCTATACTCTGGTGTAAAGAAAGCTGATGTCAAGACACTTCCGTAAAAAAAAAAAATAAGAGAAGTGAGATGGGAGGGCTTCTGGAGGTTTCTGGAGAGTGGCATGCCCAGGGAGAGCACAGAAGCTCCACAACCCTTCCCCACTACCTGGCCCTACACATCTCTTCATCTGTATGCTTTGCTTACGTTTAGTGGTTTATTATCAAGGACATAATAAACCAATCAGAAGAGTAAGTAAGCAGTTCTGGATTAACCAACTAAACACTCTAGCTTTCACTGAATGATTCTGAAGTGATATAATAAACCACTAAATGTAAACAAAACAAAAAACAACAAAATCAATCCCTTCCCGTAATGGGCTGCTTATTTACATAATCTCCCTTTGGAACTTTTAGTCCCTCCCCCAGACAGTTCCCACTTAAAGGTAATTAGATAACACAAATTAATTCTTACCTTACAATTTCTTCCATTTGTTGGGTTATGATCATTCGTCCCATGAATCTATCAAAGAATTCATATTACAAAAATATATAGTATCACTTAGGGCATCAATGGGTGGAACATTTTAGAGTTTTTGCACTATTCTTATATATGAAACAAAAATCATGTGTATATATGAATGGCTCAATATTCTTGCTATAAATTATTTTAAAAATACTTATCAGTCCTTAAGCTTTAAAACATTTAGAGTTCTTGCTATCTCTACTCCAGTTATGAATGAGGTAATGAATAAAAAGTGTTTTCAAAATGGCAAGAATCTGGAGCGTTTTGGATTTTGAATTTTTGGATTAGGGATAGTCAACCTGTAATTCAATAAAAGGAAAATTTTAAGTGCATAAAGCTAGGTATGCAAAGATGTTTACTCTATCAGTTGTCAACAAATACACAGTAACTCCTGCAAGATGACTAGATCCTGTTTTACGTGCTGGGGATCCATCAGTGAACAAAATACACAAAGATGTCTGCCCTTGAGTTTACATTCTAGTGAGAGAGATGATAAGCAATGAACATAAAAAAAAAAAAAAATCACACAGTATACTAGAAAGTATTATATATTATGAAAACAGAAAAGCAGAACAGGTCAGGGTACAGCACTAAGTAGTTAAGGTAGGCCTCACTGAGGAGGTGATTTAAGCAAAGACTTGAAGGTGTTAAAGAGTTAGACAAAGGCTAGGTCTAGTGAAAAGTTGGGAGCGGATATGGTATGTTCAGTGTATCTGGAGGATGAGCTAGAGGGGGAAGGGCAGGAAACAGGGCAGAGAAGACAGGTGGGGGTGGGGGGTAGGAACAGACCTTATAAATGGTTATAGAGATATGGGCTCCGACTCTGAGTGACATAGTGAGCCAGGACAAAATTTGGGCAGAAGAGTGACATGATCTGACTTACATTTAAAAAGGAACACTATGACTGCTTTTGTGAAACAGACATAAGACAGCAGTTATCCAGGTAGAAGATGGTACTGGCTCAGACAAAACTAGAGTAAGACGGTGAGATTTTTGGATGTATTTTGAAGGTAAGCCTTCAGAATGTTCTGATGAATTGGGGTGAGATGTGAGTAAGGAGGTGCAGAAAGGCAAAGGGAGAGGAGATGTGAGGAGTCATAGCCGATTGCAAGATTTCTGGCCGACTGAGCAATGGAAGGATGGACTGTATCAACTGAGATGAGAAAGACTGCTGGCTGAAAAGGTTCTGAAAGGAAGATTAGCAGTTTAGTTTTCAGCTTGATTAATTTGAGATTTCTACGGTGGAACTATGGAACAGGGAGCTGGAGTTAGGGAAAGAAGTCTGGGATAGAGAAATAAACCTGACAGTCAGCTGCATGTAGACAGTCTTTTAAGCCAGCAGGTTGGGTGAGATCACCAAGGGAGTGAAGGTAGATAGTGAAAGGCACAGGTAAAGAAGGGAACAGTACAAGTCCTGGGCACTCTAACAGGAAGAAGGATGGGAGAACAGAAAAATTAGCAAAGGAGACTGAGACAGACAGAATAGTGAGGAGGTAAACCAAGAGAGGGGAGTGTTCTGGAAGACAAGTTAGCTAACTGTATCAAAGAGGAGAAAGCAATGAACTATCCAACCACTAGATTTTGAACTGGTGAATTTATTTGTAATAAGGTACCATAAAATATTTATAACAGTAAAACAATGAAAAGAGCCAACTATGGAAATGTTTGGGAATTGTTAGGTTCTCATATACCCACTTGAACTATTCATAGCCATTTAAAATGATCATTAATTCAGCTTCCTGCAATATTTTAAAACAGGTCAAGAATACTGTTCAAAACAATGAAAAATACTTTCTAAAATCACAAAGCCAATCCACATTCTTTAAATAAATATTAGGCTGGGTGTGGTGGCTCACACCTGTAATCCCAGTACTTTGGGAGGCTGAGGTGGGTGGATCATTCGAGGTCAGGAGTTTGAGAACAGCCTGGCCAACATAGTGAAACCCTGTCTCTACTAAAAATGTAAAAAAATTAACTGGGCGTGGTGGCTCACACCTGTAATCCCAGCTATTTGGGAGGCTGAGGCAGAATCGCTTGAGCCGGGGAGGCAGGGGTTGCAGTGAGCTGAGATCATGCTACTGCACTTCAGCCTGGGCAACAGAGTGAGACTCTGTTTCAAAAATAAATAAATAAAATACAGAAATATTTAAAAATATGGAAAAGAAAAAAATGATTAAAAATCGGTGGAAATCCTACCACAAGAATATTACTAAATTTTGATCTACGATTCCTCCAGGTTTTTCTTTCTGCAGTTATCAATTATTCTATCTTGTTACCTAACTACCTATCTATTTAGTACACATACACACACATTATTTATTTATTTTTAAACTTTTAGGTCCAGGGGTACATAAGTAGGTTATATAGGTAAACTTGGTCACGGGGGTTTGTTGTACAGATTATTTTGTCACCCAGATGCTAAGACTAGTACCCAATAGTTATTTTTTCTGCTCCTCTCCCTCCTCCCACCCTCCACCCTCAAGTACTCCAGTGTGTGTTGTTCCTTTGTGTCCATGTGTTCTCAGCAGTTAGCTCCTATAAGTGAGGACATGTGGTATTTGGTTTTCTGCTTCCACATCAGTTTGCTAAGGATAATGGCTTCCAGCTCTATCCGTGTGCCTGCGAAAGATGTGATCTTGTTCTTTTTCATGGCTGCACAGTATTCTATGGTGTATATGTACTGCATTTTCTTTATCCAGTCTGCCACTGACAGTTACTTAGGTTGATTCCATGTCTTTCCTATTGCACACACATTTATTTTTACATAACGGGGATCACATGAGAGCCCCAACTTTGTATCTTATTTCATTTAACAATATATTTCAGTATGTACCTATATCATTCAATTCTTTAAAAAGATTTTAAATATCTACATATATACCTATCTAAGCATATTCCTACTTGGACATTTAAAATATGTGCAATATTTCACATGTAACATATGTGAATAAATATATAGCACATATGTGTTATAAGCACATAAATGAAAGATATAATTTTATGCAAATATTGTTTTTAATTCCCATGAGTTCCTCAAGGAAGGAAACTACTGTTATTTATCTTACCACCTAACACAATGAGTACATATACGCTGAACAATAATTTGTTAAATGAATAAAAACAGCATTCAAAATTTTAAGTAGTGATATAATTATGAGTTTTCTATTACAAAAGACTGTTGCAATAATTATGTTTTACTTATATTTAAAATGAAACATATACTTCTGATAAGGAAGAAAAATTGTTTAAAGTTTTTCAAACTTTCTCCCCATATTCCAAGATAATGTAAAAACCATACACTAAAGCATTAGTTATACTTCATCTCATATTAATCTTATGCTTGCTTAGTTGTCCATTTTCTGGTTTTTAATAATTTTTTTTTAATTTGACACTGCCTCAGACCAAGATATAACAGCAATATAGAAATCTTAAAATACTTAATTCTTCACAGCTAAAAATGTCTTACAGTCTATCAAGTGATTTTAAAGCACATGATTCCAAAGCTTTTAGTTAACTGGCAAATTCTACACTGCATCTGACTTTGATGAAAGTGTACAATTTTTATAACATCACGTGGAGAAAACCTCCATTATAAAGATGGATCCAAAAAACATATAAGAGGTTTGGAAAAGCCAATGGCTAAAGACGTTGAAACATTTCAACCAACAGGAGGATATATACAACAAGAAACTGAGGGTGATTTTTACAAAGTGGCGTAATTTATAGTTTACTCAACATTTATTGAGTAAAAATAAACACAGTTTGTCATTTGATTTTTTAATAATAAAAAGTTGTTTCCATTCCACAGCCCACATATAATTGGCAGGATTACTGAAGATGATCACTGAAGGTATACAACCCTGTATTTAGTAAACCATAATGTTAAAACAAGTTCCTTTCTCTCCTTTCAGAAACAAGATCTTTAAAATCCAACAAACTACAAAAATACGTATTTTATTTTGTGTTCACTGTGGTAGATAAGATGAATAAGTTTCTGTCTTTGAGAAATTCATAGCTGTTAAATATTTATATAAAATTATTTTTTACTGTATTACGTACTATATGTAAGTAAAATATTGAAAACTTTATCAGATGCTAATTTAAAAGTAGTATCCTCTAAATAATATAGCAGTAAAAACAAAGACATAGTCCCTGGCTTCATGGAGCTTACCAAAAAAAATCATTATTTTCTTCTAAGAAAATAATCTTATGTCTACTATAACTACTGTTACAGCTACAAAGCGAGCATGCTAGTTCTTAAATAGAAGGTAATGTGAAGAAACTTGTGAATAAAAACACTGCCTTTGAATTATTACCTTTTGCTTAGAATTCTAGCAATTTCTGCTCCTAGTTTGTTTCACTGTATTAATCGCACCCCCCACCAACCGACCCCACAAATATTGTCTCCAATTAGCTAAAGATTTCATTTTACGTTTCTGGTTATTTAAAAAAAAGAGGTCTGGGCCGGGCGCGGTGGCTCAAGCCTGTAATCCCAGCACTTTGGGAGGCCGAGGCGGGTGGATCACAAGGTCAAGAGATCAAGACCATCCTGGTCAACATGGTGAAACCCTGTCTCTACTAAAACTACAAAAAATTAGCTGGGCATGGTGGCGCATGCCTGTAGTCCCAGCTACTCAGGAGGCTGAGGCAGGAGAATTGCCTGAACCCAGGAGGCAGAGGTTGCGGTGAGCCGAGATTGCGCCATTGCACTCCAGCCTGGGTAACAAGAGCGAAACTCCGTCTCAAAAATAAATAAATAAAATAAAATAAAATAAAATAAAATAAAATAAAAATGAGGTCTGTAAATAGGACTTAAAATGAGTATACTGAGTATCACACCATACCTGTATAAGTCTGCTTCTGGTTGCTGGCATTCTATTACAGCTACTAGAGTGTCCAAATTGGCAACTGTTTGTAACAATGCTGTTTCTGGAACTGCCACATGTGTCTGAAAAAAAATGAATCAAATTGTACAGTTTTAAGATCCAAATGGGACCTTCGATATCAGTTATTTCAAATCTCTTTTATCAGTGAAGTCATGGCATGCTATACTTGAGATCACTCAGGTAGACAAGAGAAGAGAAAGAAAAATGTAAAATAAACAAGGAACAAAGGAAGCTACTATGATTACCTGTCTACAGAGGCCATTTGCATATAAGGAAATTAAGTCTGTGTGCTAATACTCAAAGTTTAAATTGTGAATTTTCACCTTTGATTATACTCTGAACACAGAAAATATAAATCTGTTTGTCATCTTTTAAAAGCAACACAAATAGTAAAAGATTATATTTTTTCTAAAAACACTTTCTGTTTTTAACTTGGATTAAACCCATGTGAAGCTACCCTTGAAATAAAGATATAACATCAATTCTTTTTTAAAACCTTTTAATTTTTGGAATAGTCAGTAATTTTAAAATCTTCTCCTTAATCAGGTCAAACTTTATTACTTTAACCAAAGGAAAGTATCATTACAGTCCAAAGACATTTTGTTCCAACAGCAATACTCAAAACATATGTGAACAAACCTTCAGGTTAGTTTCTCCATCCAAACTAGCAGTTGTAACATGGCAGGAACCATCAAGTCGATCTGAGGACAGAAGCACCAAGTCGGCAGGAAAAATTTCATCTTTGGCTATTCGAACAATATCACCCACCTATAAAGAATTTTGGGGAAGAGTGAATTTACAGAGTTTAAAAGGCAGGGACTTACTTTTGTTGGGCTCTAAATAAGTAGCCTATCATGGTATTTTAGCGTAGGAAAGTAGGCTTTTAAGTAAAACATAATATCAAGAGTAGAATTATGTCCTGTGATATGAAGATAAAATTATTTCCATTATTTACCAGATGCATACCCGAATGTTTTTGGATCTAGTTTTTACAAGGCCACCACTTCGAACAACATAAACAGGAGCTCCATTTACTTCATTATCTGAGTTATGCCGTAACCAATCTTCATATCCCTGTAAATATCCCAAGGGTAAAAAACATTTTTTCAGTATAATTTGAAGATACGTTTCTTAAATAAGAAAAAAACTCAAAAACTTCCCTAAAACACTGTATTCCAGAATCATATTAGGCCACTTTGATGCATATGCTCACAGGCATTTGACATTTGTCCCTACTGGAAACACTTGCTTCTTTTTTGCTACACCATTTTCCTGGCTTTCACAGGACCTCTATTATTTCTTCTCAATTTCCTTATGGAGGGTCCTTCTACGTCACCTTTACGTATCCTTTCCTCACATTTCTCTTTCTCGCTAGGAGATTCCATCTATCCCTGTATCTTCAAATAGTATAAACATGCTGGTAATTCTGAAATGTGTATCTCCAGCCATACATCTCTTTTGGACTCCAAACTTGAATATCTAATTGCTTTCTTAATATCTCAATTTTGATGACTCATAGATGTCTTAAACACGTTCAGAACCAAACCGATGATGTCCTGAAAGTGTGCCAAATTTCCACCGTTTCCCATCTTGACAGATGATATCACCTTCTACCAACCTGTTCTTGCCAGAAACTTGGGGAGTCATTCTCGACTTGTATTCTTTTCCAACACCTATTCAGTCACTACATTTTATTGTTTCTATGTACAAATGATATTTTCATTATAAAGTATACATTCACAGAGCATTACAGACAATAAGCAGGAAAAAATGAGCAGATTCTGAAACTGAGATTGTGTTCTTTTACTTCCTTAATAGACTGACAGAATTATAATTAATGCAGTTGACCCTTGAATAACACAGGTTTGAACTGCACAGGTCCACTCATACATGGATTGTTTTCACTTAAAGTTACACTGAGTGTGCCTAAATCTCCTTCCTCCCTATTGACCTCCTCTACGTCTTGTGCCCGAGATAGCAAGACCAACCTCTCCTCTTCCTCCTCAGTCTACTCAATGTGAAGACATGGATGAAGGCCCTTAACACAATCTATTTCCACTTCAGAATAGTAAACATATTTTGTCTTCCTTATGATCCTCTTAATAACATGTTCTTTAGTTGACTTTAAGAATACAGTATCTAATACATGTAACATATAAAATATGTGTTAAACGACTGTTTTATGATATTAGTAGCCTTCTGATGAAAAGTGGACTATCAGTAGTTAAGTTTTGGGAGAGCCAAAAGTTCTACATGAATTTTCAACTGCACAAGGGATCAGTTCCCTTAACCCCTGCATTGTTCAAGGGCCAAATGTACTCAACAAAAATGTTAGCCTGTATGAATCATCATTAGGAAGGGAAACAAGCATTTCACAAAGAATCTTTTGATTAAATATTAAGGAATGGTAATCTTTTTTAAGTGGAAAAGACTTCCTGTGACATTTTAAGAAAATTCAAGAACTCAAGAGATACAACACTAGTACAGCTAATGGCGCGATATCTAAGCAAGAGTAATAAATGAATAAGAGGATAAGGTACAGAATAGGTTTTGTTCTATGCTACCATTTGTGAAAAAACATGCCTGCCTGTGTGAACACTTTGCATAGATATCTGGACTAACTTACAAATAACTGCTCCCTGGGTAGAAGAACTAGGAGACTGGGGGTGAGGAGTATAAGACTTACTACATGCTATTTTGTGCTGTTTCCCTTAAAAAAAAAGTGCATCTATTATTTTTTAAATATTAAGAAACTATAAAATAAAAAGCAAAATATGAGAGACTAGGGGCCGGGCGCGGTGGCTCACGCCTGTAATCCCAGCACTTTGGGAGGCCGAGGCGGGTGGATCACGAGGTCAAGAGATCGAGACCATCCTGGTCAACATGGTGAAACCCCGACTCTACTAAAAATACAAAACATTAGCTGGGCGTGGTGGTGCGTGCCTGTAATCCCAGCTACTCAGGAGGCTGAGGCAGGAGAATTGCCTGAACCCAGGAGGCAGAGGTTGCGGTGAGCCGAGATCGCGCCATTGCACTCCAGCCTGGGTAGCAAGAGTGAAACTCCATCTCGAGGAAAAAAAAAAAAAAAAAGAGACTATTTTGAAACTATGCTGTTTTCAGGTAGAAACCTTGTGGGAAAGCACTCTTAAAACACCTAAATTATGTTGGCCTCATTTAAGCTACGGTATGTCATTTTAGAAAAATTTAATTGAGTCAAAATATTTTTTTCTGAAACTGTCAAAAGCACACTTTACTTTACAGTCAGATGACATGAATAGCAGAGCAATGACAGTTCAAACATCTTTTTTTATGCAAGCTCACAAATTCTAATTCACCCTACATAACTGCCAGATTAATCTTCCCAAAGCATTGTCTTGATTCACTATACTGTTCACTACCCCTTCAGTAATTCTCAATGCTTACAGCAAAGCATCTTCTGGCTTTCTTAATTTAGAACCAACCCATACTTCTATTATCTTGTAGTACTTTCTTAAATAAGGTCAAACAAGTTAGACTTATAATTCCCCAAAAGAGGTCTTTCCCTTGTCTTGCATTTGGGCTTTTTTTGCCCAAGTTGTTCATCTCTACCTCATCTTCTTCATCATTTCACCCAAACTCCAAGAATCATCATCGTAGTATTTTTTCCATGAGAATTCATATTTTCATCTATTTATTAGCAATCTGCGTATCTCTTCTTGGAGATGATCCATGTCTTTTTCACTTATTTATGGTGAAGACAAAGGTATGTCCTCTTGGTAAAATATCTTTTAAAACTAGGATCAGCTGGGTGTGGTGACTCAAGCCTGTAATTACAGGCCTTTGGGAGGCGAGAGGATAGCCTGAGCCCAGGAGCTGGAGACCAGACTGGGCAACATGGCGAAACCCTGTCTCTACAAAAAAATACAAAAATTAGCTGAGTAGGGTGGCACACATTTGTAGTCCCAGCTATTTGGGAGACTGAGGTGGAAAGATCACCTGAGCCTGGGAGGTCAAGGTTGCAATAAGCTGTGATGACGTTACTGCTCTTCACCTGGACAACAGAATGAGACTTTGTTTCAAAAAATAATAATAATAAAAAAATTAAGGACATAGGCCCTTTGTCATACATAACACAAATTTTTCAGATTCCTTTTTGCCTTTAATATTATTCAGACTTCCTTTTTAAACACTCAGATTTGTTTTTCCTATATTTCTTTCCTTGCTTCTATCAGATTAACTCCCAAACTGAAAATGAGATAAAATGTCATCTGTATTTACTTCTATTACTTTTGTAGTTATGTATATTCAGTTTAGTAATCAAAATGAGTTTTATTTTGCTATATGGTATAAAGTCTGAATCCAACTATTTTTTCTAAATATTCACAATTATTGTTCAATCGGTATTTCCCCAGTGATATGAAATATGACCCTTACCATGAATAAATTCTTAAATTTATGTAAAAATAGGCCAGGCGTGGTGGCTCACTCCTGTAATCCCAGCACTTTGGGAGACTAAGGCAGGCAGATCACAAGGTCAGGAGTTTGAGACCAGCCTGACCAACATGGTGAAACCCTGTGTCTACTAAAAATACAAAAAAATTAGCCGGGTGTGGTGGCATGCGCCTGTAATCTCAGCCACTCAGGAGACTGTGGCAGGAGAACTGCTTGAACCCAGGAGGCAGAGACTGCAGTGAGCCAAGATCATGCCACTGCACTAAAGCCTGGGCAACAGAGTGAGACTCCATCTCAAAATAATAAATAAACAAATGACATTTATGTAAAAATAGTATTTTTTTCCACAAATAAATAAATATTATTTGTTTTCCACAAAACCATCTCTGGTCATCCAGATGAAGATGAAGTGTTTCATTCCTCCTCTGAATAGCTACAGCTCACTGGATTTTACTACTACTCTGCTGAATCATAATTACTTTTATATTTGGTCTTACCTTCCTAATTCACAAGTTTTAGAATCATGGAGGGCAGACTATCTTATTTCCTAGAGCACTATACCGTGCATTACACAACTGGAGAGAAGACTTAATATATTAGTTGAGGGAAGCTACAAAACAAGGACACAACTGACAACCTCATTCATATTACAGTGTAAGGAGTTGACAATGGAGCCTTTTCCTATTTTGATAAAAGTACAAAGGAAAAAGGCAGACTAAAAGGGGAGAAGACAAGAAAGAAAGGCTGGAACATGGAAACTTTCATTTTTACAATTTTTCCAAAATTTGTTCTACTGATCTATAGTAATAAATAGATACACAAACCCGAACAACACATGGAAGCATTCTGTGTGTTTATTAAATTAGAAAAAGTTAGGAATAGTTGTTGCAAAAGAGAAAATTCTGAATCCAAAAATTTTGTTTTGAGTTGAAAAAATCTTTATGGATCAAATTTTCTCTTCAAAACTTATATGGCCTTCCTATTTCCCCCATTGCCTTAGTTATGAAGCTCTCATATAAATTTAGTATTCATATTTAATAACCATATTGACACAGGTTCTAGGCATAACCTTTTGCTTTCTGCCTTTAAATTTTATTCACTTTTACTTAAACCAATTTTGGAAGGAGACTGATTGTCAATTATGATGATTATATTAAACTCTTATTTTGCAGATAAAAATTCACCACCATCTTTTTCGACTCAGTTGATGATATCGTATTCCAATTAAATGCAGTCCATATTTGGCCAAATATACATTGGGAAATAAGGGAAACAGGTATTGCAACATTTTACATTGCTTTAAAAATATCCAATAAGTTCATTTATTCATCTGTTAAACAACTACTGAAGGCCCAGTATGTGCATGGTCTTTTTCTGGTAACTGGAAATAAGCAGGTATACACAATAAATTATCTGGCATCATAGAGCTAGACATTCAAATGAAAGTGACAGAAAAACTAAAATACAAACATTTATCAATAGAACAAAAAAATAAATGATATAAAGGAAAAAAAGGCCAGAGTAAGAAATAAGAGAGGCGTGGTGGCCAGGAAAAGCCAAAGTTTAAGTACAGAGTAAAATGAATTGAGAATGCAATTATCTGGTGGAAGAACTTTCCATGAAGAAAGTACAAGTCATAAACTCTTGAGAAAGAAGCATGCTTACTGTGTTTGAGGACAAGTAGAGGAGCATGGCTGTAGCACAGTGAGGGGGAAAAAAAAAAAAAAGGTAGGAAATGAAGCAGAAGGAACCAGGAACCAGACTCTGTATATCTTTATGTCTTTGTAGATCACTGAAAAGATGCAGTTTGGTCAAAGTGTGATGGAAAACTTCTGAACAGTTTTAAGTGGGAGGGTAGTGTGATCCGATTTTAAGAGATCAATTTGGGTGCTGTGTGAAAACCATGGGAGAGTAAGAGTAGAAGCGAGAGAGCTCTTTGGAAAAGAATGCAATTGTCCAGGCAAAAGATGATGGGGGCTTGGACTAATTAGGTAGATCCTGAAGGTAGGGATAAACAGAACCCTCAAAGGATGATGCTGTCAAGGTTTGTGGTGCTTGGATGGCAGTGCCATTTAATAAACTGCAGAATAATAAGAACTAGTAGTACAGGTTTAGAGGGGGAAAAATCAAGAGTTATGTTTAAGATTCTTGTGAGATGGCAAAGTAGAAATGTTGTACAAATGGTTGTACATGTGTATTTGGAGTTCAAAGAATAGTTTCAGGATAAACATAAATGTGGGAACCATCATCACAGAGATGGTAACGTCAATCTGCTGGATGGAATGAAATCATCTAAGGTGAAAGTAAGAGGTCCAAAGAACAAACATGTTACTTTGTTCAAATAAATGACATCTATTTGTCATTTATTTCATTAAAGTAAATATGCATCAAGTAAATAATTATATGGAGTAATTTAAATGCTTATCAACCAGTATATACACATTCTAATCTCCAATAGAAGAGTGAAGAAAGTAAAATTAAACTTAGTGAGGGCTGTGACCTAATATTCTGACATGTAGATGCATAATTTAATTGTTAATCTATAGGCTCTATCTTATGTAAGCAATAAAGAACACACTTCATCCCAGAATTGTAAAATGTGTATCAATTTTATTTCCATGTCAATTTATGCCCTATCCCTACATCTTAGAAAAATTTATGTTTACCTGAGAAAATTCAATTAACTCTCCTACAAGTGGAAGGAATCATCTCTGTATAAGTGAAACCCTACCAAGACCTTTTGAGAAGTAGTAGCTATATCAACAGGACATTTCTATGAATTCCTTCATTTCTTATTCTATATGTTTATCTAATAACTCTATTCTCTATAACTAGATTTTAATGTCAATTCATGCTCTGACTGAAGCTATTTCTCCTGGGGGAAACAAAAAACACAACCTCACAAGAGAAAGTTATAAACAGTAGGACTATGCTTTTTTCTCTTTTTTTTGAGACAGGGTCTCACTCTGTCAACCAGGTGGGAGGTGCAGTGGCATAAACATGCGCACTGCAGCCTCCACCTCCTGGGCTCAAGCGTTCCTCCCACCTCGGCCCACCAAGTAGCTGGGACCACAGGTATATGCTACCATACCCTAATTTTTGAACTATGTAATTTTTACTCACAAATGTTCACACCAGAAGTATATACCCTGGTCTCTATAAACATCTCTTGTGGGCTGTATTACCTTTAAATATCACCAAACTCTACAAAGATGATTATAATTAAGAAATCTATTTCATATATAAATTGGTTTATACATATATAATACTTGTTTTTGGATGCTTTCTAGCTATGTCAAGGGAATAGCATATTTTAACGATGTTAATCATTCCATGAGTCACCAGGTACCTGAAATATAACAGAGTGGCTAATTTGGTTTAATTTTACTACATATCAAATTTGCTGCTTATGGAATTTATTTTCACAACAATAAATGTTACTTTGGAGTAGAAATATTTAGCAACTTCTAATGACTTGGAGGAAAATAAAAAAAGAAGGTATTTCATACCTGCTTTATGGCAGTTACTGTTATCACAAAGAATAATGGAAGTCCACTGGTAATTGGACTTGTAGGTGTATCAATCATAAGCTAGATTTATAAAAAAGAAAAAAGAATATTACATTTTTATATTGTGCACATCATACTATTATCATCTAAAATTTCACATTACACAGTGAGTATACTTTAGTTCACAATTTCACAACTTCACTTTGTTGGCTATTGTATGGAGTTGGTAGACTATTCAAATCTACTGCCTATTCACATATATGGTTAGAGTGGACTCAGTAACTGCTTAAAGACAGAGTTCTTAAGTTCTTCAATATTTGCCAAGGAATGGAACTACAGCTACTCACATCTCATTTCACATTTCTTTGCACATCTTGATAAATGCTGCAAAGTCTGTCGGCAATGTTTACCCTTGGATTCAGAATGATATCAACACTAGGGAAAAAAACTAGGAATGGAAGTAATTTTGCTACATCCAACAGAGCCAGAGGGAGACAGCTAGGAAAACGATGTTCCTTTACTCCGGACAGGCCAACTAAATTTGTTTTATTCCACAGACAAGCTGAATTCACCTTAGCTAGTGATTTCACAAATCTATGGATGTTATGTGGATATGGTTAGTACACATCTCTTGCTTTTCCAAGAAAATCAAACTGATGCTCTATGGGCAGAAAATCAGAAATTCCTTCTCTGTTCATGAAGGAAAGAATTTTTTTTTTTTTTTAAAAGCAAATGTTTCCTGAAGTGTTAAGATGATTATTTAACAAGTTTTAATGTTTCATTTGAAATCCCAGGTTCTACTGAGGGAAGAGTTCAGAGTTTATACATTCAATGCTACACTGAAACTGCAAAGCTTTATCAGAAAAGAATAACTTCTTTAAAGGAAAAAGGCAATCACTATTTTAAGAAAAAACTATACCCACAGGGATACGTAAAAATTAAAATTCTTTTAAATAACTTAAATTTAATTTAAATTTAAATTAAAAAATTAAAAGCCAAAGAAAAGTTTATTTTGTACAAAGATGATTCCATAGGCAGAAATGTGCCAAAAACATGCACTATATATTAAAAACCAAAATATTTATGTTCTGAGGCAGAATATCTGAAAGATGTTAGGTTATATTCTTAGCTAAGATTATGGTTAATCTAAGTACTATGACACATTATTGATGAAACAATATACAGTTGATCTTAAAGTTCATAGGCTATTTCTTTTAGAAAACTAGATGTGACAGATCATTGTATTCACTGAATATGATGCAGAAGCATTATAGAAAAAAATGGTCACATGGTCAAATGAGTAAGAACACAACGTAATTTTTCTTTGTTCTAAGACATATTTTTAGAAACTATGCTTACAAACAATATTGAGTAATAAAGCTTACCTGAACCAAAAATATAATAAGAAAATAAAAGTTTGCCACTCTTCTGAACTGTTCAAATAGATTTTTTGGAACGAAATTCCACACAGTATACTAAAAAGAAAGAGATCAATAAATTAATATTTTAAAATAATATAAAGTATATAGATATAGCATTAATAAGTAAAGTAAAATCAGATTTACTAACCCCTTAGACAAAATTGCGTTAAAGTCTATATGGTACAGAAACGATCTGGCTTTTAGAGTTCAGGACTTTTATTCTACTTCCCTTTTTTCTTCCTTTTACTATTTATTAGCAATTCTAGCATAATTTTGAAAAATGTAATAAGCTGAAACCCAACAATTTTGCTATTAAATTCTTGTTATTTTTAGAAGTTGGAGAAAGCCGATCTACCACATTTTAACAACTTATTTTGAATTTTGGTACACAAAACTAAACCTAATGCTAAAGATAAATATGAGTTGATAGAAATGCTAATTTTAGATACAATTTATGTTTTATTTAGTTAAGCAACAGAAACAGAGGAAGTGGTTTGTTTAGTATGAAATATGAAAAAATATTAAATGTTAAAGAATGTTAAAGAAATAAAAATGCTTTAGATAAGTGATCACTGTGAAAACCACCAAGACAATTTCATGAAGGATATGAAAATCTGTCACAGTATCAATTTTGAAAGGTAAGACAGTAGACTACAATGGTTAAAAGCATAGATACTTGGGGGTTAAACTGCGGTGGCCCAAATCTTAATTTGTAATACTCACTAAATGACCCTGGACTTAATCTCTCTGTGTCCCACTTTGCTCCTCCATAATATGAGGATAATATTAATCACATCTTATAGGGTTCCTATAAATATTAAATGAGCTAACATCAGATGAAGCACTTGGGATAGACCCTGGCTCATACTAATTGCTATGAAAGTGCTTAATATTATTACTCAGCCCAAAAACCTGTAATGCTATATTACAAGGGCAGAATAATATGTTGCAAATTTTATTTGTATTACAACTCACAACATAACTTCAAATATGAAACAGGGAAAGGGTTTATAGAACCTTTACTTTACATTCTCCCAGAAGAATATAAGATCCCTGAGGCCAGGGATATCATTTTATTCACTGCCCTATCTCCAGCACGTATACTACTACCTGACACTTAGGTTGAGATCAAATATTTTGCAGAATACATTAATGAATAAATAAATATGGTTGACAATGGGTTTTTTTCTCAGATAATATCCTGATCTCAGGCAATGAAGTCTCAATGGTTACTGACCAATTCAAGATTGCCAAAGAGGTACTTTACTTTACCTATTTTCTCTGGTGTCAAGTCAGATGGCATGGCTCTAATTTTTGGATTTTCACTGTCAAAAGTTCACTTCTTAATCAGCTGTTTGAGACCTGAAACACTGTTTCCCATGTGAACCACCTCATAAATAGAGTCAGGTTCCCAGAAGAGCCCACAAAAGCCTATCTGACCCAGGGATACGGAAACACTGTCTAATATCTAACAAACTTTCTTTCTTTGGTGAAATTGTATTTTCAGTTTGAAGCTTGAATATGTGAAACATATTCTCCTTGAGTAGTGGCAGCATCAGTGGCTCTGGAATCTGAGGGTGGGAAGTATGTTTACGGCTCTAGAGGGAAGACAGGTAGATACTTCCTGGAGCCAAAGGAAGTCAATGTTCAATGTATACACATGAGATGGTAATTCTGGGTCAAGTCCAGTGATTTTAACTGGAATTAAAAATCAGTTGTCAGAATATCCCCTTGCAACTCCTTCGGTCACCAAATCAAATGCATAATACTTTATAAGGAAAGTTGGAAATCTCCTAAGTTCAAAGCAATCTATTCGAAACGTAACAGTGACAATATATTTTGTATTCCAGAATCCTGAGGAGAATAGCTATATAAATTGGCAGTAAGGTAACTGGTTTCAGGGTATTTTCTTTGGCTACTCAATAATACAAGGAACAACTCAGAACAGATAAAAATTTCTTATGAAAACTAGCACAAAAATGGTAGAAACTGTTTATAGTTTTTCTGAAATACAACACAGTAATAGATTGAAAGAGTCTAAATTCTACGCTTTTCCTATTATATAGAGAGGGTGAACTCTAGTAGAATACCAAAGATTATGAAAATACTGCTAAGAAAGAGAATAATTTATTATGCTTTAAAGTTCTCTTGAGTCTCACTCTGTCTGCCCAGGCTGGAGTGCAGTGGTGCGATGTTGGCTCACTGCAACCTCCAGCTCCTGAGTTCAAGCAATTCTCAGGTCTCAGCCTCCCAAGTAGCTGGGACTACACGTATTGGCCACCACACCTGGCTCATTTTTTTATATTTTTAGTAGAGATGGCGTTTCACCTTGTTGGCCAGGCTTTTCTCAAACTCCTGGCCTCAAGTGATCCATCCACCTTGGCCTCCCACAGTATTGGGATTACAGGCGTGTGCTACTGTGCACAGCCAAAGAAAGTTTAAATTTAAGATAATGTAGTTACTATGGCCAATTAAAGACATACCAGGCAACCACAATATGCAAGACACTCCACAATAAGAGAAACAGAAATAAGATGTTTAATATTAAGTAGAGGAGATTAAGAACAAAATATCAATAGTGGTATTCAGAGATAAAGCATATGAAAAAAATTTAATGAAGACGGTCATATTTGGCATGTGCTTTAAAAGAAGAACATTCAACAGGCTGAAAATCCAAGGCAAACAAAGGAGAAATTTTCAGGAAGCTAGGACCGCATAAGCAAAGGGACAGGATGGCTTTGTGAGACAGAAAACCATGCAGTCCTCACGCCTATAATCCCAGCACTTTCGAAGGCCAGGGCGGGTGGATCACAAGGTCAAGAGATCGAGACCATACTGGTCAACATGGTGAAACCCCGTCTCTACTAAAAATACAAAAAAATTAGCTGGGCATGGTGGCGCACGCCTATAGTCCCAGCTACTCGGGAGGCTGAGGCAGGAGAATTGCTTGAACCCCGGAGGCGGAGGTTGCGGTGAGCCAAGATCGCACCATTGCACTCCAGCCTGGGTAACAAGAGTGAAACTCCGTCTCAAAAAAAAGAAAAAAAGAAAAAAGAAAACCATGCAGTCTGGAAGGAGACCAAGAGAATAATAGGGGAGTGAAAAGGTAGTAAAATGAGAATAATGAGAGGCAGGCTTCATTTATGCTCAGGAAAAAAGTGACAATATCTGTATAGATATTTACATTCTTGCAATTACGGTCAAAGACATGAATTCTACCTTTCTACAAAAACATAAAATCTAATTTAAAAAACTATGGTTAACAACATGAAATCAAAGCAACAGCATAGTGCTAGGAAAGTTCAACGTGAGTTTGTGGAATAGCATCTGTTTTGGAAGGAGTGTAAGAAAGCAACAGTGGCATAATAAGACAAGTAATAGGTAGTAATGAGATAGTCCTCATTTACGGTAAAAATTTTAAAAGGCGGTATTTCTTTAAACATTCACATTTTTAAAAATATGGTCAAGAACATTAAACCGAATACTTCTGTGTACAAAAACAGTCATATAAAGACAGTTATTTAATCCCAAAAGCTTTCCAAGAGGACACTCAGTTTCCACTATTGGCAGAGAAGTGGCTCTGTGAACTCCCAGCAGATAAGAATTATAAATATTACATTTTAAAAACTATGTCAATTCCTGGAAAAGGTCCAAAATATAGATAGAAACAGGAAGAGAGTTTAATTTCAAAAACTGCAAATGGAAAAAGTATAAATTGTGAATTTTTGGCTTCTTAGCTTGGAGACGTATCCAACTACCACACACAGCAATGGCAGCACAACAGCTGGGGAAACTGCAGCCTAATCAACAAAATGTGACAGAGATTAGAGTTCAGGGCTGGAAAAGCAGCTGGAAATGTAAGGGGAAAACACTGACTGTAAGAGAACCACACAAAGAAAATGGCTTATATTCAAAACATAAACTATCCAAACCCAGGCTGATGGCGAAACTACGCACCAGAAAGGAATGAACTACAGACACTAATACCTGCAACAACAAAAATGAACCTCAAAAGCATTATGTTACGAAAAAAGAAGTCACAAAAGACTGTGCTGTATGATATGAAATTCTAGAAAAGAAAAAACCATAGTTACAGAAAGCAGATCAGTGGTTGTAGCGCTGGGGGTGAGGAGGAAGGGGACTGGCTGCAAAAGGGAATGAAACAATTTTTTGGAGCAGTGGATACAGTCTATATCTTGATTATGGCGGTGGTCAGGTTTGTCAAAACTCATCAAACTCTACACTTAAAACTGATAAATTTTATTGTATGTAAATTATACCCCGTTTAAAAAAAAATTAAAGTTTTCAAGTGCTTTTATTTCTTGCATAATTTATTCAGAACTGTGTCACTAAGCTAAAGCTCATCCATTACCCTAGATTCTGACATTTTCTCCTCCTCCTTTCTGCTTTAGAACCATCATCCAAAATGAGAGACCTCACTAAGGGTATGTCACACACATAAGGAACGTAAAGGCAGAAATATGGGGCAGGGCAAAGAACTGCTGACCTAAGACAACATCCCTGGGAAAGACGAGGTCAGGATTAGAGAAAAGATGTTAGCTGCTTTGGACGGGAGGGAAGGAGCAATGCAAAGATGCTTCTTAAGGTGCCTTTTCAAGCAATAGTTACGATACAAGGAAAACTTTATCCTCAGTCTCTTTGACTCATATCCTCTATAACTGTACTGTCCAATGAGGTAGCCACTAGTCACGCTACATTTAAATAAAATATAAATTAAACTTCAGTTCCTGAGTTGCACTAGCTGTATTTCAAGGCCTTGATAACTTTGTATAGTTACTGGCCATCATATTGGACAATTCCATCATGAGAGAAAAGTCTACTGAAAAGCACTATTCTATAATCTTCAGCTTCAGAATAACCTATGACATCTTAAAAATGCCACAGAAAAAAATGAAATAAGGAAGCATATATGAGTGAAGCTGTACTTTGGCACCATAAAATATGTACAAATGACTGATAAGATTGGAGGAAGCAGGCTTTACAGCAATGCAGAACTGAGTTTAAATTCCAATCTAGCCATTTACTAGAGAGAAACCTTGGGAAAATTATTCAATTTCCTAGCACTTCAACTGAGGAAACTGATTTAAAAGCAGTATAACATCCCTTTGTAAAACAGATTTCACAAAAGCTACCTCATAGGGTTGTTTTAAGTATTAAATAATATGAGGAGTACTTAATATAGCTTCTGGTACATAGCGTAAATATTAGTTCCTTAGTTTACTACCAACTAAAAACAATTTTTGGCATGTTAGCTACTGTTATCAGTAAGTAGCAACTCCTTTCATTTCACGATTAACAATTCTGGTTAAGATAAATCAACTACCATTTTCTTCAGTTTGTAAGAATATAAATAAATATACACACACACATAATCACTTTTAAAAATAAAATGATCCATATCCACAGTTTTAATTTTTTTTTTTTGAGACTTGGTCTCACTCTGTCACCCAGGTTGGAGTGCAGTGGTGCGATCATGGTTCACTGCAGCCTTGACCTCCCAGGCTGAAGCCAGCCTCCAGAGTAGCTGGCAGTACAGGCGCGCCACCACACCTGGCTAATTGTTTCATTTTTTGTACAGACAAGGTCTCATTATGTTGCCCAGACTGGTCTCGAACTCCTGAGCTTAAGCGATCCTCTTGCCTTGGCCTCCCAAAGTGCTGGGATTATATGGGTATGAGCCACTGCACCCAGCCTAATAACAAACGTTTTAATTCTTACCTTTGATGAAATGATCCGGTTATCTATAAATTTCTGAGGTGTATAAAGGCCATTCTGAGGAAACCTGTTGGCTACGTAGATGGTTCTTGTGTCGCTCTGATGTGGTGGGTCAAAACCCTAAGACCAGCCAAGCAAGAGAAAAAGAAATACTAGTCAACCAGGTTAGTTATGACACTTTATTGTCAGCTTTATTTAGCTGGTCAGATTACATATATTACTATTGTCCTTAAAATGCATATAGATTCAATCTATTTAATTAGAAGAGCTATGCCACCTATTTTTTTCTTTCACAGGTAAACAGGTACATTATCTCTAGACAGAAACTTAATTAATACCTTTAGTAATGAAAACTAGTTCATTTTCTGTCAGAAAACACTAAGACCTAGAGAAGTATTTGAGGACAAGGTTTCTTTCCCTACTGCATTCCTTCCCTTCATTTCTGCGGGCTCCTTGCCTTCTCTTAGGATGGATTTCTACTCCATGATATTAAAGTCCTGTGTAGCTACAGCCTAGTAAGCGCCTGCCACATCTTTTTCCATCCCCAGACTCACGTGGTTGCACAGAGCTTTGTTCCCAGATGACTGACAGTACATTACGTAGGGTCTTGCCCAGATTCATTCCACATAATCACTTATTTATGCCATTATAGTATCAACTGACTTACTGAAACATAGATATGAATATGCTGTAATTCCTAGCCTTGAGGAACTCATATCCTGACCTCAAATTTAGAAAACCATCTGCCAAGGCTTATAAGTAATCATCTCCAGTAGAAAAGATTTCACAGATGACAAGACTACTGAGACTTTATTCTTAGAGGACTGTACTAACTTCCACAGTTGCAAGTGAATCTTCAAGACACCTTTAACATTTGGCATGTTGTCTAGGCTTTTGAAAAATTAGAAAAGAAAAAGACTCTTTTCGTAGATTTTGGGAACTCACTGAGGCTGAAAGCAATATCCAAATGAAAGACTTTCTTTCTTTGGTACTAACAAGAAATGATTAAAAATTCCTTAGACTTGTTCTTTCTTTTTTTAAATAGTGGTCATGGGCTATTTACTAGTAATACTAACTAGTTATTAAAAGGTCAATAAAACTTGATATTCATAAGTTACGATGATCCATTTTTAGACATTAGTAAAGGCTCTAATTTAGTAACCTATTAAGTAAGTAATCCGGCTGCCATTCAATGCTTAGCATCCCCTGTAACATTTCCATTAAGCACCGACATACACAGGTAGCGGGAGATCCCATGCAACCTAGAGGGATATTTTGCTTAGTCTATCAGAATATTAAGTGTTATGTATGGTATTCAACTGTTATTATTCTTGGTTTTAAACTTTTATTCTGTGATCTTAACAACAGTACAGGACTGCACAAATGCATTTGTATGCATCATAAAAATCATGTTTATTTGTTCAGACTATTTAAAGTCCTATGATTTTCTACCCTGCTTTCACAATACTTTGCAATAGTGATGGTCACATTTTGTAGATGTGAAAATGGCATTATGTGCCTGACTTCAAAATCTGTCTCATTAAGGAAACTATATGGTGGCATAAATATTTATTTTCCTAATAAGGTATCTTTAAATTTTTTCACAATTTGGTAAATGAATGAACAAATAGTTTGAAGCCTACTCCTTTAGTCTATGGCTTTATTTCTCATAACAGGTTCACAGGAAATTTACCTATAAACAGGTATTTGGAGCATTACACTGCATGAGGCATAATATTTATTCAGCATCTGCTTTGTAAACTTATGTTAACATCTCCCCCCATAAACTAGCTCCTGCCTCTTAATATGCTTTCTGCCATCTTTCTCTCCAGTATCACTCTGCTTTCAGCTCGACTCAACAGATTCAGATGGACACCTGTTTAAGAGCCTATTAAAATAGATAAAATATTACTAATACATTATTACTTCTCTTTAACACTAATTTAGCTTCTGGGATAAAGTGTTTTAAAAAAAAAGAAAGTAAATTTCAGGGCCTGAAACAATATATAAATCTTTAAAATGTCAAGACAACTGAGACTCAGAACCACTGAAAGAGAATTTTAATTTTTTGCTAAATCCTTACCAACACTGGAATTTATGTACATCTAAAAAAACCAAAAACAAAACAAGGAACCCAAAATAACAAAGATAACTACAACATCTCAGTTATGACTAGAATTTGTATTAACATATAAATGCACATACTTTACATGAAGCAAATGCCCATCATTTCCCATTTATCTCAACTGGATGATTAGAACCAGTGACCACATACTAAAATTTTGGAACTCCTGAGGGTTCTATAGTTATTTTAAAAGGATATTTTTAAATGTTCCCCCCAAAATCAATTATAAACTGAATTTTTAAAATCCTATACAGTAATTCTATATTCCAAGATATCACAATTTAAAATATGACAAATCTGAAAGGAAAATGATGACAAACTTTTCCATATTCCCAATGATGATATAATATCTACTTTTGCATTCTGAGGTTTTTCATTAATTCACATTATCTCATCCAGTCATATTATCATCCAGTCATATTATAGTCAATGGCATGCCTTTGTGGGAATGTACATGTCTTATTTTCTTTCGCATGCAAAATAGTAAAATTTAATATATGTGTAGTATAAGTATGGCCTAATGTCCCTTAAGAAAATGAAACCTATAGCTTCAGCTCATTAATATTTAATATTGACTTTGCTACAACAAATTAAACTATCCACAACCTAAATAAAAGAACAAAACTGGGCCAGGCGTGGTGGCTCAAGCCTGTAATCCCAGCACTTTGGGAGGCCGAGGCGGGTGGATCACGAGGTCAAGAGATCGAGACCATCCTGGTCAACATGGTGAAACCCCGTCTCTACTAAAAATACAAAAAATTAGCTGGGCATGGTGGTGCGTGCCTGTAATCCCAGCTACTCAGGAGGCTGAGGCAGGAGAATTGCCTGAACCCAGGAGGCGAAGGTTGCGGTGAGCCGAGATCGCGCCATTGCACTCCAGCCTGGGTAACATGAGTGAAACTCCGTCTCCAA